TGGCGCCTACGGTTTGGTGCCAAATCGCGCTAAATATCAAAATCAGATGTCAAATTCATCGTCAGGACCATTTTGAAGCCAACAAGTGGCCGCCAACCTTGATTGCAAAATTTAGTCGCCGCGGGGATCGAACCATCAACAGTACCATTATGCACTTTTTTGGTACTACTAAAACCGTTCAGCGAAAACGAAACATGGTTTTGTGGTCCATACATGCGTCCCTACAATATGCAAGAAACCGTTTCCAAAAAGCGCGGCTTGCCCTGAAAGACCCCATTGTGAGTTGAAGGCATGCGGTTCAGTATTCTTACATAAGTAATATTTATTTGTGCACAGGAGAAGCTACCATTTCACTCTCCTTGTTCCTTTTTTGTTCCTTGCAAAGGTTGGAATTTGAATGATTGCACAGCAAGCCCTTCGGTACGCATGGTGGTTGAAATGGGGAACTGCTGAATAAACTTTGTTCCCTACTGTAAGCGATCTGTCGATTTGCGGCTACCGTAGTAGGCAGATTTGCAGCTGCATCCTTTTTCCATTTGCAGCTACCATTGCTGGGTCAACTTCATGATACAAGTTGAGCACGTTTTTCTGCACCACACGGCAGTTCTGGGTGCAGAAAAGTGCCATAAAACCGACCCTGGGGTTATGTGGCAAGGATGGCCTTGTGGGATGAATATCTAGTCATTAAACTCGCCTAAGTCTTAAATGGAAGAAGCATAGCAGCTTCAGATCAGCTACTTCCGTCCCACAGTGCTGTCGGTCAATGAGAGACTCGTGGCCTGTACGGCTGCCAAAAAGATCATCCCCTGCATCTTGTGCTGTGATGTATTGTGTTTTATAGGGACAAGCTTGTTAAAATGCCGAAATTTACCCAATAAAATATGATTAATAAATTATGCGCCTATATTTAGCAGACCACCCGTGTGTACCGGCATTGCGAAGTTCCTAAATTAAGGTGACCCAACGCTTGAAGTCTGCGGGCTACATTCGTCGAGTAGAGTGCATAGAGCGTACCATTCGAAACACTCAGCTTTGCGCTGAGTTGGGCCCCTTCATTGGCACCTCCGCTACACACAGTGCTCTATTCTGAGCTCCAGTGACTACTTTTCAACGGGATCGTAAGCGATTTCCAAAGAGTAAGGCTCGTCAGATGTTCACACTTGCAGCTTCGCGTGATTTCGTCGTTCTCTGTGCAATTTCTTGATAACGCGGGAGCATGAACTATTGTACTTTGAAAGCACTGTCTACTACATACAAGTAGTAAGTGCTACCACACGGGATGGCTTCAAGATGGCTAACTCGTTATCTCTGAAATTTCGAGCTTGTCATTCTTCCATATCGCGCGGATTGCAAAAATATGCAACAATTTCGCAGCGAAATGACGTACATTTTGCACCACAAGTTACGAAATAACGTTGAAATACAATAAATACGGAGGCGGTATAGTGTAACTTGATACACCTACCTTCAAACAAAATATATTGCCTACAGATCATTGAAATGATTCTGAAATATTAAGAAGTACTTACCTACGGAGGCTGTCATGACTCTCCGGTCATGATTTGGGGTAAGCACATTGACCGCCACACGTCCTATTAGTCATTAACGATCGATATTTGGAATTTGAAAGTACCGCCAACAAACCATTCCAACAAGACATTCTAAAGGACCGCCCTCTCGCCTCATTATATATACCGCCCTCTTCTGGGGGGTATAAAGACGGCCTCCTGAACGGCGGAGCCAGTCTTCGCTCCTTCATTTTTCCTCTCGAGTATTCTCAATCTCCTTCTCACTCTCCCTCGAGGCCCGCCCCCAACAAGCGACTACGGTCGCACCTTGACGCTCTCACTTCGACGCCAGCTTGACACCTACACCGCAGTGGACTTACGCCAGTCGGACTCGCCACCTACAACACTAAATACGCTAGTAGACGACAATGAAACAATTAGCACGATGGTTGACGACTGAGACACAGCATAATACAAATACATCAACAACTCTCTTTGTATAAATTTATTTTGTATATTCGTGTGTGTTGTAGTTAGTTAATAAATGATTTATTTAACAAACTGTTTACTACCACTGAATCAAGACAGAGGCCATTTTATTCACAGAGTCCAGTTACTAGTTACCGAAGTCCTCAATTTCATTTGGATTTCATAACGAGTTCAGTCAGGCAGCGAGTGAAGAATCGCTGCCTGCATGTGAAACTCCCGCAGAAGGAGTACATGATTGAGTTGAATTAGATTACGGTACATTAATAAAGTAGATTAGTCAAATACACTAAGCCAGCAAAGTGGCCGCATTACCCTGCTCCATTGCCTTTCGCCCTGCCACGCTCCTCTCTGCCATGACGTCATCAGCACGCGCACGCGTACGTGCCGCTGGTAAGCTCCCATGAAGCCGATTAAAACTTCTGTGGGTTTGATGCCTGCGTAGAGCTGACCATATCGTGTGTGTAGAGACCGCCGCGATATTCGTCATACAACATTTTAATTTTGTTATCTGACGAATTAGTTTCTCAGGTGCCGACAATCTTGGGTGAAATGGCATCAAAATGCCCTACAGTAGTATTAATATTGGTATTAATGCTAGTGAAGATAGCTTCACTTTTCCGGAGCGACGTCGACTTCTTCAATTTAAACATAAAAAATAGTAGAACGGTAAGTTCACTCATCTAGTGAAATGTACATCTTGTAAGATATCGGTTTTCCTCGGTAATAAATATTTTTAAGCATCAAGCCGTTGTATTGCAAGAATTCACGAAGCTCTACAACCAAGAACATGGCACGAATCGTAGTGTGGTTCCACTGCATCCAGCTGCCTACAGTTATTGGGCAGGGACAAACACGACGGCAGCCCATGTTCGAAGAAAAGTTGGTTATCGCATAGTCAGACTTCGCGCCAAGGTCGCTGTTGCGCGGGCTCCGCAGCGCGGACCTACGGATCAATAATGTCATGCCCCATTCGACTTCGCGACCTTGGCATCGCTATGCAATCGCGAAGTCTGACATCTATCTCAGAGATTTTTGAAAAACTGACTCCCTTTTTTTCAGAGACAAGGTTGGTTGCAAGCTAATGGCTCGAATGGAATCACGTCTTGATATGTCTATAAATTTTACCTTGCATCATATGTTCTGATTCTGCGTGGCTAGAAGTTTCTGTATCTCATATTTCAGACTGTGGTTCCACAGCATGCACCATGCCATCTGCTGGCGATGGTCCAGCGGCGTATGGTGGAGTAGTTTCGAATAACATGCAGTTCTCGATAAGTACAGATCCCTGCCCTCAGCTGACTATCACTTGTACCGGAGGTGGAATGGCTATTATCGCAACCAATGCCCTACTGGAGATGGGCATGATGGTCAGTTCACGACTAGCTCTTCAGGATGGAATAATGGTTTCTATACAAAAAGCACCTCTTATTGTGGAACTTCAGATCATGGGTGACTTCGGCGATGTTGTTGTCGTTGATTACACGTTGACATGTGAACCGTTTGGATGGGGAGCAACTGATCCATTACAATCACCACTAGGAAATTCTTTCTTCTGCGAGGGTGAGTTTGAAAAAATACTGGATGATTTGGACCTTGTCAGACCAGGGACTCCACGAGTGAGTCACTAGGTTCGAGCGATGCGATGAGGGGCGCACCAGAGGTTTGAACGATGCACCTGCGATTCCAGAGTGTATGGAAGTGGCGAGAGTCAACGTACAAACGAGGTTGAAGCTCGTCACATCCCCATACCCCCGGTGTATCATTCGAAGCGCTGGCGCAGCGCTCGAATCGCAGGCGCATGGCGCATCACTCGCACACCGCATCTCGCTGGCGATTCGGCAAATGTGACAGTCCTTAAGATCCCGCTTAATTTGACTCGCATAACCTATTCGAATAATCGCGCTATGCAAATAGCCCATAACTTTCCGTATCCCGTCTACCTCAGCCCAATTTCTCCAGAACGCATTGAGTTGACCTTGATGTGAATTTGGGCATTTACTGAAGATGGGAGAGTTAGAACGGTTCCGGTGGGTACTCTCGTTCTGCTGCAGCCAACCTCTGCTGCTGTGCAGCGGGCAAGTCATTGGCTATCAACTTGTTGTCGAGGGTTCAACATCACACCACGCTTTTCAAAAAACAAAACCGAGAGCATATTTCCCAAGTATGGAACGGTGGAGATTGTGCTGATGGGCCTTTGGCGAGAGGTAGCAAATCGACGGATCGAGTGTTGTACTAGAAGAAAGGCCGTATATTGGCAGGGAAAAAGTTGGGCTGCATCAACAACGTGCCTTCCAAGCATGGTAAAAAAATGGTGGGGACTTAATGGCCTACCCAATGTAAGGATGGTAAAAAATCAGGTTGCATTCGCTTTTCGTAGCACTGTGTCACACATTTCTTTGCTGATCAAAATGGGATTATATCGAGTAAAGGGGGGGGGGGTGGAGGACGAGAGGCATGTGGTGTGACATTTCATATCACCTAAAGTCACCAAATGTTCCGCAAGGGGAGGAAGCTCTGGGGTGGGTATTGAAGTAAAAGCGAAAGATGCGTCCTCAGAATTTCTCAAGACCAGATATGGAGAAGAGGCGGAATGTTCCGAGAAACACTACTTGGGGGTCTCCAATTCCTTGTTTTCATAAAGGCCACAAGCTCGCCGAGAGGGCTAGGGATATTCTCGCTGGCCGGAAGGAATACTGCAAGTGAATCAACTAATTAAAATCGATATCATAGGAAAAATTGACTTTAACGACACGTTGCACAAAAACTCGACAGTACGCTGCACAAGATTCGCTAGTAGCGAATGTTGAAACGAGTAGCAAACCTACAGTAGAGGAAGTGAAGTGCAAAAGTATCAAATAATTCTCCTAACAACACTAATAGATAACGTTTTCAGTTGAAACAATAATAGAGGCAACAACGACAACATCGACTACAACAACACCAGTACCTACGACAACCACCACAGCGCCCACATCAACCACTACTGTACCCACTTCAACTACGATGGTTCCCACTAGCACTACTACCGTGCCAACGTCAACCACTACAGTGCCGACATCCACAACCACTGTACCAACGTCGACAACCACTGCACCAACGTCTACAACTACAGTGCCTACATCCACCACTACCATGCCAACGTCGACAACCACTGTGCCGACGTCGACAACCACTGTGCCCACGTCTACAACTACAGTGCCTACTTCGACAACCACTGTACCAACGTCGACAACCACTGTACCAACGTCTACAACTACAGTGCCTACTTCGACAACCACTGTACCAACGTCGACAACCACTGTACCAACGTCTACAACTACAGTTCCTACGTCGACAACCACTGTGCCAACGTCGACAACCACAGTGCCGACGTCGACAACCACGGTGCCCACGTTACAACTACAGTGCCCACGTCGACAACCACTGTACCAACGTCGACAACCACTCTACCAACGTCTACAACTACAGTGCCTACTTCGACAACCACTGTACCAACGTCGACAACCACTGTACCAACGTCTACAACTACAGTGCCTACTTCGACAACCACTGTACCAACGTCGACAACCACTGTACCAACGTCTACAACTACAGTTCCTACGTCCACCACAACTGTACCAACGTCGACAACCACAGTGCCGACGTCGACAACCACTGTGCCCGACGTCGACAACCACAGTGCCGACTTCGACCACCACTGTGCCGACGTCGACAACCACTGTGCCCACGTCAACAACCACTGTACCAACTCTCAACCACTACAGTGCCGACTTCGACAAACACTGTACCAACGTCGACAACCACTGTACCAACGTCGACAACCACTCTACCAACGTCTACAACTACAGTGCCTACTTCGACAACCACTGTACCAACGTCGACAACCACTGTACCAACGTCTACAACTACAGTTCCTACGTCCACCACTACTTTACCAACGTCGACAACCACAGTGCCGACTTCGACCAACCACTGTGCCGACGTCGACAACCACTGTGCCGACGTCGACAACCACAGTGCCACGTCTACAACTACAGTGCCTACTTCGACAACCACTGTACCAACGTCGACAACCACTCTACCAACGTCTACAACTACAGTGCCTACTTCGACAACCACTGTACCAACGTCGACAACCACTGTACCAACGTCTACAACTACAGTTCCTACGTCGACAACCACTGTACCAACGTCGACAACCACTGTACCAACGTCTACAACACAGTGCCTACGTCCACAACCACTGTACCAACAACTCGACCCCACGTGCCGACATTCGACACCACTTTGCCGACGTCACACCAAACAGCGCGCGACTTCGACCACTCACGTGCCCGACGTCTAACACTACAGTGCTACTTCGACACGCACGGCTGCCCCACGCCTACAACTACAGTGCCTACTTCGACAACCACTGTACCAACGTCGACAACCACTCTACCAACGTCTACAACTACAGTGCCTACTTCGACAACCACTGTACCAACGTCGACAACCACTGTACCAACGTCTACAACTACAGTGCCTACTTCGACAACCACTGTACCAACGTCAACAACCACAGTGCCCACGTCTACAACTACAGTGCCTACTTCGACAACCACTGTACCAACGTCGACAACCACTGTACCAACGTCTACAACTACAGTGCCTACTTCGACAACCACTGTACCAACGTCGACAACCACTGTACCAACGTCTACAACTACAGTGCCTACTTCGACAACCACTGTACCAACGTCGACAACCACTGTACCAACGTCTACAACTACAGTGCCTACTTCAACAACCACTGTACCAACTTCAACCACTACAGTGCCGACTTCGACAACCACAGTGCCTACATCCACAACCACTGCAACGCTGACCCATACACACATGGGCGACTTCGCAACACGCACGGTGCCCACGTACTCCAACTACAATGCCTACCTTCGACAACCCACTGTACCAACGTCAACCACAACTATACCAACGTCAACCACTACAGTGCCGACTACTTCGACCACCACTTTGCCGACTTCGACAACCACTGTACCAACGTCTACAACTACAGTGCCTACTTCGACAACCACTAGTTTACCAACTCGACAACCACTGTACCAACGTCGACAACCACACTGTACCAACGTCTACAACTACAGTGCCTACATCCACAACCACTGTACCAACGTCGACCACAACGGTGCCAACGTCAACCACTACAGTGCCGACTTCGACCACCACTTTGCCGACTTCGACAACCACACCACGTCCAACGTCTACAACTACAGTGCCTACGTTCCACCACTACCATGCCAAACGTCGACAACCACAGTGCCGACGTCGACAACCACGGTGCCCACGTCGACAACCACGGTGCCCACGTCTACAACTAACAACACATGTTGTCCCGATAACGGAATCTGGTCAGAATGGACACAAACACCTGAACAATGTTCAGACTACTGTGGATCATGTGGAAATGTTACCAAAACTAGAACTTGTTTGTCCGAAGCTGATGGCTGCCCTTGCAAGTATGTTTTCAAGATCAATCGCCGTTCTTAGCAGTAATCAGTGATAGCATAACGCACATTTCCTGTTTCCAGTGGAGCTACCACCATATCAACTCCCTGCAACACCGACGTGTGCTACTTCCCTCGTTTGTCGTGCTGTCCTGGATTCACATCGACCGTCATCAAGGGACGGCATTCGTGTGGCCCTGTGGTAAATCAGTTTAGCTTCTCACATTCAACAGAATCACAATCGCGCTTCAAAGGCACAAAGCTTAGTTGAGTGTGCCAAACTAATCATGGGGTTCACTGCTTGATGAATCGATATTCGCTATCAATTCACCCAAAGATGATTCAGGAACGACGCTAATAGGCCACTAAACGCTGGCGGGCCCGCATTCCCTATCAACCCTTTTCCTGTATGCGTCTCCCTCATCTCTATCTTACCTCGTGCCCTCGTCGTCCTGGGACGGTAGTAAAGTGCCATAGACTGGGAGTCAAGGGTGGTGAACTACGGCCCTTAACGGCGAATAATGAAAGGCGAGACAGCCAGATGACCCGCTCTGAATGGCGAACTTCACTACATTCCTAGCAAAAGTCGCGTCGCCCATGGACTTGAACCATGTAATGCAGCGTCCATGAGCGCGACGTTTGCCACTGCACCACAAAGCACTGCTGGTTCACTTTGAAAGAATTGTAGAATGCAAGGTAGTAACCTGAGAGGGTTGCAAAACCTTGGGTTTCGAATGGAACTGATCCCGCGACCGATCCTATGTCCACAAGGAACGAACCCGCTGCGCCAATCGACGTGTTAGGGTGGAGACCATTCCCATTTAATTGTTTAGAGGTGAAATTCTCCCATGACCAAAGAAGGGGCTGTAACACAATCAATAAGTGGAACAATAATGGGGACAGCTGGGGACACCTTATTGGCAGAAAGTTATCAATATTATCGATAGCTCCGGTGGCTTCCTCAACACCTATCACCAATCACCCTTCTTCTCTTCGCTCTGCGACATGGCAGGGATGCAAACACGCTCTACATGACGTGCAGAGAAAGGAGAAAGTGCATGGGGATTGCAGAGATCACTAAATGTACTCAGGGGTACATATTGGTCGCCCTCTACATGACCCTCTGCGATCTCTGCGTTCTCCACGCTCTTTACCTTTTCTCTGCCCAGGTTCGCCGACTAGGTTAGGTGCCACCTAATACATTGGCCACTTGGGATGCGGCCCAGACCTCGCCCACTGCGGCAGGTCAGCGCGAGTTTCGCGCCTTTCCCCATGCTTTGCGGGTGGGGACGAAGGCGAGCACTGCGTGACCTATTGGCCAACTATAGACTGGCCATTTAGGACACTTTACTACCGTCCCTGGTTTCTCACTTAGACACGCACCCTACTCGAGCCATGCCAGTCTTTTTTGATACTATACATCAGCTACAAAAAGAGCGCATCAACCGTTTCATGCAAAACCTGGAGAATGTTTGGTATCTTGATAGCTTTGCGAACAAGTCATGAATAAATGCGAAATAGGGCGAGATCCTTTGACAGAATTTCAAAAATTATGGAAAGTTTTCCTGAAATTTTAAACAAAATGAAGATTGTGGATTTCAGCCAGTCGTTCCCGAAGAACCATACATCAACACTTGCGGAGTAGACTGCTGCCCATCGAAAGGTGAGACTTTGTCCATTTACGGATGTCCTTCCATGGAACTTTTATATGAGAGGGCGTGTCGGCACCATACGTGGGCAGTTATGATCCTCCAGCCTGCGGTACCGTAACCGGGCGCCCTCAGAGTTCTGTCGTTGCAGTACGTGGGACCATTCAGATGCATACTATACAGAAAAAAAGCTCTCCGATTTGGTTTTCCTTAAGTAAGCATCTATCCTTCGGTGTCAGCTTCAGCAATGCATAGAAGAACTGGAACGCCTATTACGTCGGATCGGGATCCACACTACCGCAGCTGCAGTCAAGAAGGCCGCCTCCACCACTGTAACTGCAGCGGAAGTATCAGACTTACAGGAGTGTTCCTCATAAGGTCGGGGTTTAAAGAAGGCGAAATATGCCTAATCGAAAGGAAGGCGGCCTCTAAGAATGCAAAACCATGCGCTTTTCGTAGCGAAGAGTATGCCCCAGTGACCAAGCAGGGCCACATCCGCACCGCGGCACGTCCACCCTCTCGCCGTCTGACTCTAGCCGTTTAGCAGAGAGAGCGTTAGCGTTGAAGAGGGCAGCACCGATGAGAGTCGCATCAATGCGGAAATCAACAGGCAAAGAAGGGTTCCATTTCTCGGGTTCTGGTCGTTTCTCATGGATTGGATTTCTGTTCTTTATCCCTGCGCCACTGACCACATCTACCTCGATTTCTGACGACTATTTTTTATTGCGGACACAGCCTTCAACAGATTCGAAAGGAATCTATAGCTCAGGCAATCGATTCCTTCTTGTTTTAATGGACTTATTTGGTTTGTGCAAAAAAAGACCATTAATTTCAAACGTCCAAGAAATCTGCTCGGGCTTTCCTTAATCGAAAAAAAGACCAGCGGCTTCCAATGGCTCATTGTCACAATTAACACTATATGTTATTCATTGACGAAAAATTTAGGAATCTGGGGCGAGTGGAGCGTTACTGTACCTTGCAATGATACTTGTGGTTCATGTGGAACCCAAGTCCGCTCTAGAAAGTGCCTTTCACTACAATACGGATGCTCCTGCACGTGAGTAGCAACTCAACAGTAAGGTCCCAAATTGAAATGTACCCCCACTGTTTCAGAGGGGAAGCCGTTGAAAATCAAGTTTGCGGAACAGATGTGTGTTTGTTCCCGAGAACGACGTGCTGTCCCGGCTTCACAAAGAAGGCAGATGCCAAAACCAAAACGTTTTTCTGTGGACCACTCCCAGTGGTGCCTGCGTTCAATCCCGAGCAGACCACTTGTTGCGATCCAGGTATGCCATTCATTCTACCAATAGCTATCAGCACGGAAGAGAAGGTTTTTTTCAGAGAAGAAAGGGCTTTGGAACGAATGGACAGAATGGTCGACCTGTTCTGCTGATTGCGGCCTCTGTGGTACTCAGGCGCGTAATCGTACCTGTGCCTCAGCTCCATACGGTTGTCCATGCACGTGAGTGATTCCTCTCAGTGACACATCCTTGTCCGTTGGTACTGCTCAATCACTCGCTTAAGGGGGAGCACTACCGAATCGAGAGATTGCGGACAGGCGGCTTGCACAACTGCTCCTGCATGCTGTAAGGGCTATCCGGCAGTAGGATACGACGGCGCCAAATTTTGTCAACCGGAACCGGTATGTGCATTATTTTTTTTTCGCGGCTACCTTTATCAATGCAATTCATTCAGCCCGTGCAATGTCCTGGTACATGGACAAACTGGATGACAGCATCGGGTGCCACTTGTAACGATACCTGTGGAATGTGTGGTGTCATATCTTCCTATCGTTACTGCTGGCCTTCGGGATGCCAGTGCACGTACGTTTCAAAGCTTTCAATTCTGGTATCTTTATAGGCGCGGTTGCGCTGGCTGAAATGTGGAGACGAGTTGGACATGCTATCGCTGGAAAGGCGTCGTGATTAGTGGAAGGGCGTCGAGGGTCGGTCATTGAACCAATGACGATGCTTTTCAGCGTTGTCGTGTTCAACCCGTCTCCACCTATCAGCCAGCTTGACCGCTGCTTTAAGCATATGCATTTATTGTACAACATTTTTAATACTGCGGACATTAGAGGTTTAATTATGGACACAAGGGGTAGTAGGCAACGTGTAATGCAGGGGAGGAAAAGCCAAGGGACGAGGTTAAAGGCAAGCTTCGGGATAAAATGGGTGTGAAGAAGTGTTCAGGTATGAATCTAGAGGTGGGAGGTGGTTCTGGAAAAGGAAAGGAAGCAAAATCCCCGATCACGCCCTAAATAGGAACCTTTTCTCTTTCAGCCGCATTCCACCTTGGGATAGAGAAGGGGCGTGTTGGACGAGTTTCACGAACCTTACTCCAGTTGCTCCAGTGCCAATGACATTGCGCCGCAATGCAACCGCTGCCTCAATGCGCCCGCGCTTTTCAAGCAGCGTCACGTGGCAACTGACATAGGCCGGGCTTGCGGACCAATAGTTCTGCAAGCCACACCCTTCGAGTAGGTTGCGGGTCGGACGAGCTCTTGTGCCTTTGTCGCGCACTTTCAAGCCGCAAAAGGGGTGCGACATCAACGCTTGTCCGCCTGTCTACTGCCCCTGGGGATGGAACAGGTAAGCGCGACCAATCCCGGAGCGTGCCTTCAAACTCGCGAGATTTAAACTCTTTCTTGACCTTTGATTTTCGCGTTATACGAATTCTGAGATAGATGACGTCGTCAATCTTAACACATTGCTCTGCCTCATGAAACCTTCACGGAGCAGATGACAGCCCTAGTCATCGACCAATCATAAACCAGTCCGCCACGCGGGGGCGGACCTTGCCACAAGAACGGCGGTCATTATGAGCAAATTATGAGCAAAGTTCTGCTATGCCATCACGGGCTCGAAATTCGCCACGCAGGCGCAATATCTTCATTTCCTAAAGGTCTAGGTCCTCTTTACGTAGCGCTTTTCGACAATCAATTCATCGCACCACCTGCCCTTAATATAACAAAAGATCTGCTTTTTCGAGTATTATTCTAGACTGGATTAGGAAAAAAAGTTTTTTATTACATGCAACTTAATCATTTGATTACAGTGGAGCGTTCAAATCAAATCAAGCTTGTGGATCTCCCGTCTGTACATTCCCGAGAGCGACATGCTGCGCTCCATACGTGAAGAAGATCGTGAACAAACAGTTCGTATGCGCGTAAAGAACGTGCCATTAGTGCATTCTTAGTTAATATTATATAAATGAATTCTTTCAATTCTATCACTTCGATCAGTAATAGAAGAGATCTCTAAA